TGGAACCGTGGCTCAGTGGAAAACACTTGGGCTTGGAAGACACTGAGTCAAGCCCGGTTGGGGGAGGTTAGTACCTGGATGGGTGACCTACACATTATACCTGCTCGAAGTTTTGTTAACGTATATTTTTATTATTATTAATATTTTTTCGTTTTAAGAATAATACAAACTTTGATTGGAATTCATCATAGTGTACCCGCTTCCTCTGTCTACCAGTCCCAGTCTCAAGGTGGCAGATTAGCACCTAGTCTCCCATCGTTTCTTAGTGTGATGGTAATAACCGCTGACCCAATCATTTGCTTATCCCGTTTTTCGGATATACGAATTGTGGTTGTCAAGACATTCGTTAATACGGGATCCAATCAGAGCCAGATTACTGCTTATCCAATCAGATTGCTTGATCATAGTACTTTCGATCTCTGACTCGTGGAACGCCAAGTAAAGTTTACATCGGAAGTGCCGTATAGTAGTATTAACGTGTTAGTCCCCGCCTCTCTCCGATCTACATACCTCCCGGGGTTTTATTCCTTGTATCCGGGTCATACGTAAGATATTTTTGATTTTCCCCTGGTTATCACGCTATTTCTTTCTCGAACAAACATGGAGGCTTTTAAATTTCAATTCGATCGTAAAGTAAGGACCACAGCAAGTGCATGTAAAACGAGTATGCTATTTGAATTAAAAACAAGTTCATTAAAGCATTGAACACTTTTTGTTTATAGTATGCGGAACAATAGCCAGTATATGTACGGTGAAGACGTTTTGCCAAAAGTCTTTTAATACGATAACAAATACTCATCAGAGGTAAATAAGACTTGTGCGAAAGTTTTTGGTGTTAACTTTGTTGCGCACGAGTTTGCCTCAGGTCGATGTGTTACCTTGGAGTAGCAGTTAAATTAACATTGTTATAGTAGAGCTATGGCAACACAGAAGATTGTATTCATGTAATGGCGACATTGTGGTTAAGATGGTTGACGAGTGGTTACGAGAGTAATTCCTTGTCTAGAACAAAGATACAAGATTATACTCTTGGCTACTGCACATGCACACTAACACTAGAAGATTTGCACTCTCTTCAAAAGGTACGAAATGGACGCATTGATATTTGCTGCCTTTTTGGGTTGCTTTGAAGACGCTATTCTTAATAACCAAGTAGTGTTGTTCGTCTGTACTGCACATGGCTCATAACATGCATCTTTTCTTGCCAGATGGCTTGTAATTCTCAAGTGTGTTAATAAGTTTGAGTTTTAAAAAGCGATCGCTTACGCATTGTGTGGTGTCGCCAGTTGGGGCCAGTGAGTTCGGTTAACCACAAGTCGTCAAACGTATCCATTCATAGAAGTCTTAAAGCTTCTTAAGATGAACATCTAACCAAACTAGATGTACTTGTAGCAAATATTCTGTACGTTGCGAGAGAAACTTCTTCAGGAAATGCCAAACAAATCAGAAGCATTTTGATTGTAAGAAGTCCTATTTGTGCGTTGCTCATGAAGCTGTTTCGTTTGCCTTTTCTTCTATTGTTTTGTGTTGCGTTGTTTGGAAGAATACGGCGCCAAAATCCCTAGAGCAGATATCAGTATCATTACTAAATGTAAAAACAACTGATAAAGATGAATTGAATTATGAGACAAGCCCTGTCGAATGGAGCTAATGGAGCTAATAATTTCTTGTCATTAAAAAAAAAAAAAAAGCAATGAAATGCATTTGCAGTCCAAGACAAAATCTTATTTCTTCAACTAACTAACGTCACCAACTGCGCATCACGTTAAACGAGACCTCTCTTTTCTCATAACACAACACAACAACCTGAATGACAAGCAAAGAACTCGATATTTTTAGCTGTACAGATACCAAGCCACAGTAGAACGGCGCCAGAATGCGACCACAGGCTCATTGTGTGTTTACATATAGAGAATGATACACCATAAGATGAACATTTTGTATTAAGTACTTTGAAGTTCAATCATGGAATTAAGATTCAAGATAATGAGTACAATGTTAAACCGCAAAGAAGAGTGTCATATTGGATGATATTTTTAGTTCTTTAGAAGAATGATTAAAACTTATGCAAAGAAAACCAAATATGAATCCATTAACATCAAATACCGCAAAAGTTTTTTCCCTTTTGTACAAGATTTGGAACTTGGTCTGTTGAGGGAGAATTATGCTATCGTACTAAAAGTATAATTGGATACTGTGAAGGAAAATTTACAAACCGCAAAATGGAGTTTGTTCTTTAAGCACGTGAGATACTTGTCAGTGAAATGATAATGAACGTATATAGCTAACAATCCTGGCTCTTCTTGTCATTAAAAAATACTAGTTCGTTTAAGAGCGTAGAGTTTTAGTGGAAAAATATTAAAGCAAAAGTTCTTGTTTAGTTTGAAAAACCAAAAACGAGCGGATATATGTTTTGTCATTTGTCTTCTGAGCTTGCTGCGGTAACAAGGACGATGCATTGCACGGGGGTAACAGACCAAGTCGTGTAATATAACTGCGCATTGGACGGGAGTAACAGACCAAGTCGTGAAATATAACTGCGCATTGGACGGGAGTAACAGACCAAGTCGTGTAATATAACTGCGCATTGCAGGAGGGGGGGGGGGGGGGGGAGAAGACATGGCTTCGTCTTGAATAGTTGTCTGTGGAACACTAATTAACAATGATAAACATATATTACAAAAAACGTGGTCCATTGGGGGGGGGGGGGGGGGGGGGTAACAGACCAAGTCGTGTTATATAACTGCGCATTGCACGGGGGTAACTCACTAAGTCGTGTTATATAACTGCGCATTGCACAGGGGTAACTCACCAAGTCGTGTTATATAACTGCGCATTGCACGGCGGTAACGCACCAAGCCGTGTAATATTACTGTGCATTGCACGGCGGTAACAGACCAAGTTTGATCGCGCAGAAAAACAGTAAAAAAACCCTGATCGATGTCTTTTGTGTTGTAACCCTATATAGTGTAGCACTAACCATGTATATTGCATGGTACCAGCGCGCTGTCATTGGTGATGCGCAGGCTATAAATTTTCAAAGTGAATAAAAAGAATAATTTCTTGCATTGTAATTGGTTGGACGGATGTGGGCATGCTGTTGGCTTTACCGTGCCGTGTCTGAGTCTGATTGGATAAGAAGTGATCTACAGACTGCGTGATTGGATTAACGGACTTTGCCATGCTGTTGCGTTTACCGTGCCATTTCTGAGTATTCTAATTGGATAAGGCAAGGCTCACGACTCATACGAAATTTATACATTCATCTTTCAGATCTGCGCTCACCAAGAACGCATTGGTAACCCTTTACAGACCTGTCCAACAAATGCAATAGAGTCTCACGAAGTGTCCAGCTGCGCTCTATGTGAAAGCATGCGCACTAGCCGACAACGCTTTCCCCCGACTTGTCTACTCAGTGTTAAAACTGTTCAATAAACTTCTTAAGATTTATCCAGTGGATTCAATTGGTTCATCAAAGAAAGCTCTCTAGTCTATTCGTTCCTCATAAAGTGTCCGGCAACTCGGCGTCGGAGGATATCCCAATAAGCTCTTAGAAGATTAGCCCGAATCAGGAAATATCGTTTGTGTAAATACTGTGGAGTTAGAGATATCAGCTGAGACTACCGCGATTACAAAAACGACGGGGAAAAATAAGACAACAAAAAGAAGGAAAAAATGAGATCTTAATTCAATTTCTAACGCGCCCCAGTCCCTAAAACTATTGCCTAGTGTGCCAGCGCAAAAGCAGAAAATTTCGAAGCAATATTTTTTATAGAATTTTTTGTACAAGTTTTTAATTTGAGTTTTGAAGAAAAAGTGCAGGAAAAATGCCGAATGGAAGAGTTTCGAAAAGCCTGGATAAATATTCCATTGTTTCAGTGCTTGGTCCAAGGATGCCTAAAAGAAAGCCTAAAAGAAAGCGCCTCGAATCTCATGACTTAAGTGAGTTTGACGTAATGGTATTGACACAGGTTGAAGAGTCAGTCAATAACACTGATTGTTTGACGAAGGGTAATCAATTAAAATGGAAGATATCTCCAAGGAAGGTAATGAATGTAATAAGACAGAAAATGAAGCGAAACTATAGACCTTAAGTGAGTCGATTGTGTCGTTAGTTAGCCTTCGGTGTTGAGAGCATGTTTTGGATTGTATGACTTTAATGGACTCAGTAAATTCTTGTTCGCTAAAATGGAACTTGAACAAAGAGTACAATGAGTGAAAATGAGATAGAAACTGAAATAAGAACTCGTACAATGAAAATGAAGGGGAAAATGGAGAAATAACTAACAAAGGCAGGGGAAAATCCACGTCTGGTCATAAGTGAATTTTTCTCATCACGTAAAAAGTAAAAATAACGCAAATGATTGTAAAGTCAAGTCATAAAGGCGCCAAAGAAAGGGATATTAATAGACAATAAAGAATGGTAACGAAAAATGTAATATGCCTAATTCTGAGTAAAATATAAATTTTTTCGTAGAAGAACCGCACTCGGTTAATCTAATGCTTTGTGATTGTATTTTCTAAGCATTTTCTACATTGTACAGTTTCAATATTCACCGTTCTTTGATCAGGTCCAGTGTTGACACAATCGAGTGCCTCAAGAAAACCCATCTTTTCATTTTGACACAGGTCGCTAATGGTGGCAGAATGTGAAGGATATCAAATATAATACTCAAGTATATTTTTGGACCGTTTTACACACGTTTTTCAGTCCTAAGAATTCAAATTGACAACCTAGATGAATAATTTTCGCATGAAATTCTAATTTTCTTGTCAAACGTTTTTGGTCTGAAATGATAAATACTATAATATAGTTATACCCGATTCGCGAGAACAGTTAAAAAAAATTGTTTTTCAATTGGAAAGAAAAGAAAACGAAAGCTCTGATACATGGAATACATACTGATCAAGAGGAAAGCCATTACTGAATTTTATTTGCAGATAAACGTTAAGAAAAAGTATACGTATTTTGTATTTATACAGAAAGGCAGTACTTTCGCATTATTTAAAGACTATATTAGTTTTACAAAGATTTTTAGCTTAGTCTTGTGGCTTCTAAAACACTTGTAATGATTTATGACTAGGACGTCGAACTACTTTTCGCTCAATATGCAGAAATACTGATTTATTCATAGGACAAACATTTTCATGAAAAAGCCAGCAAAAATTCCCGAAATTTGAGAAAAGAAAATTCTAATTAATTGAACTAAGATGAAAGCACTATGTAACTAAATCTTTTTCAAAATCAACTGCACAATTTTTATTTGTTAATGTGATTTTATTGATCAAGGGAATGAGAACGACCATTATTAAGCTAAGTGCTTTTGAACTCGAAAAAGAAAAGGAAAAAACCCCAGTTTAGTGTGCGCCGGAACACGTCGACTGCATCGATTTTTGGAACTTTAATTTGGATTGTCTGACAATAATTTGGCATGCGTTTGCTTGTCTTTCAAAGCGGGCGCCATTCTCAAAGGGGATGAATGGAAGAGAGATCATTAACTACTACAATGAAATAGAAATAAAGTTCTTGAGCAAACTTAAAGCTCTTAAGATAATTAAATAATTTGGCTTGAGACAAATGACAAATGGCTGAGGAGAAAACCGATGAAAATGGTGTCGATCGTAGGTGGATAAAAATTATAAATCTATCCTTCGTAGTACCTAAACATCGATTAAACATTTAACGAGAAAAATGATAATAAAAGAGCTTCACTTTTTGTTCAGTGTCCTTTTTTATTACAATGTCAACTGTAATATTCAAATTAAATGTAGAATAGGTAAAAAATCTTTTACACTTTTTTCCAGAGTACTTCATCAGCATGTCTTCGTGTTTATAAGCTCGGCTTTAGAGTACAATTTACACGGTTTAATCGAGTTGAATTTAAAAAGGAATTTAAAGTAGATGTTTGGGATTTATGTGAATGTTTTTATTCAGGATATGAGTGTCAGTTAAGGTTGTGTTTGTTCTGTGAGTATAGAGTTAACATGATAGCGACACGTTTTAAGTTACTGGATCTTCACACCAAACAGACTGTCAAAACTGCTGGCCGCACACATCGAAATAACTAACCACACTTTCACTGTAAAAAGATACTTTCACTTAAAAAACCATCATCTCGTAAAGAAAAAGATTCCTATTTAAAATTGTATGAAGAAGTGGAAAACAATTGCCGACTTGCGCGCTCAGTTTTATTGGACATTTTGTGAAGAAATAGAACCGGAATCGGAAAAAAATAGAATCTTAACTCTTTTCAGTCTCTCTTAGTCAAAAAGCTTAATAAATCGTAGTGTTTTAATGTCTCAAAGTAACTGTTTATGTTCAGTAAACACTTGCAATTCAATCGTAAAATGGACTTTGAAGAAGCATTTACAACAACGCCCCAAATCTACCTAAAAGTAGATAGAGAAAAGAACTTCTTTCCAGAAATGATTTTGAGATTTCGAGACGCTTGCACGTTCATATTCAGTTCTTCTAAATTATAGCGTTCGTATTTGCATCAGTTTTTTGTATTCTTTAACGCACTTTTTTCTGTATTTTTTCCTATTTTTATAATATCTTCAGTGTCTTTATCGCTCTTATTCGATTCTTCCTTTCCTGTTTCCTTTTTCCATTTCATTCTTCTATTTTGAAACCACGTTTTAACCTGTGTTTCGTTTAATCCTAAAGTCTGTGCAAGCTTTCCTCGGCTTGTTGTATCCAAGTACTTCTGCTCAAAGAATGTTTTCTCCAGCACGCGCAGTTGTAAGTCTGTAAAGACTGTTCTTGATTTTCGACAGCGTCTTCCACTAGGGGTTCGTAATGTTGGCTTGACGCGAAAATACACGGGGAGTCGTCTGATCACTTCTGGGCTGGGATCTTCACCAAAAAATGAAACAAAAGAAAAAATTATAATTCAACCCTCTCAAAAAGTAGCGATTCACAAGGGTGTAGAGAACAATCACAAGGGGTTACATTTAAAACACAATTCACATTTTTATGTTAAGTAATCTATTAATCAAAGCGAGTAAGTTCTTTTTGTGTGAATCAAGGTTCATGTTGGTTCTCGTTCTACTCAAACGTGTTTCACAACATTGATGTCAGATGTTTTTTTCCAAAGGTTTGACAAGGGTTTCATTGAAGTGTTGTCGTGTTCCCTTTTGTTCGGTGAGATGTGTTTGTTTATAATGCGATTTTGAATTTATTTGAAGCGATTGTTGGTGATGCGAGTAAAACGATACGCCAAACAGGTGAAACTAGAGATCGCTAAGCACATGTTCCACCAAGATTTCAAGCTTTTCTCTTCTCAACGACATCGAGTCTAAGTACTCCTTTTGATCGCACACTTCAGTGCTACATCGGCTGATTTGATCTCACAAACCTCGTAATCTTTAAACCGAGACTCCATGGCCAATTCACAGGCCCGCCCGAAGGGACTTACAAAGCATTGATACGATACTAGCGATAAAGCCTGTTATCTATTCACTCAACAAAAAGGGTAAAATATTTGTTTTTTGATTTCAAAAATATCCCTTGATATGACTCAATCTTTGCGGAGTTGAGCTAAGATCTTTGATTTATTCCTTTACAATAACTATAAAGTTAAGTTGAATAGGAATAAAGAGACGCAATCGAGAGCATTGTAATAGTCCTTTCAGTCGGTAAGTGGACCTATTTTCCTGGCTCGTTTGTATAAATGGACTCAATCTGATAAGGCAACATGCTCACAACCGAGAATGAAGGGCGCCATGCGATCAAATGAATCACAATACCATCCAAATCAAATCTACCAAATCTTTTGCCAATATCATGCAAGTATATATAGGTATAATAGTTTCCGATAAAGATAGATGCTAGAGAATAACCCTGCTTAGGTTATGAGTTCTTTTGTGTATTTTATTAGAGCCTTGTAGTGGAACCTCAAGAAAATTGTTTATAAATTGGCCACTAGTTCCGGTGATTAAGGATATAAATGACTAAACATAGACTAGATGTCCCTCTAATGCACTGAATCTCTTTTCTAAATCTCATAATCGAGCGAATTCTTCACGTGGAATCGTTCAAACCATGATCTCCCACCTAAGCCTATTTTCTTCTAAGAATTTAATTTTGGGGACTCGAAACTTGTGGTCGTAGATTGATTTAAGGATCTTAAAAGGCCAATGCATTGTTTTTAGTTGTATGCCATTGTGGTTCTTAATAGCCATAAGCGCTCTTGAAATTGGAGTCAACATGACGGCAAAAAACGATGAGCAGAGGCAGGGTACATGAAAGATTGTGCCCAAAGCAGCGCACAGATTTGCCCCCAAGGTATCGACCTCACATTAAGCACTCGTTAAACTAAAATTAAATTTGAAAAGGCCAATAACACTTTCATTCATCGACCAAGAAAATCACTTATTAAATTAGCAAGTACTCTTGATAGTGGCTGACTTGATGTATTGCAAGCTAAATACACTTACTATAAACAAAGAGAACCAGCGTAGCCAAAGTGGCAACGAACATCAGCAGCGGAAGAGGCGAGTGAGGTGTCAAAAGCATTTGAAAACTGTGTTGAGATGGAAGTGAAGACGCTTATTAAAGAACGACTTAAATGTTCGCCTTGCGCGCCTAGTCCCAAATCCAGCAATTCCTAGCTACGCTCATTTTTTATTGTTTTTTCCCAAAAGAAAAATATAAATCTAGTTGGCAGGGAACGTCAATGAAAACTGCTTTTTAAAGTGTTGTCGTAGATTGCTGTGCAAACTTGTCTACCTTACCTTGATAAACTGGAGTTTCATCTCGGCTTCTCGATAGTATAGACTGCATACTAAAAGCCAATGAATCCGAGCTCGACACGGACGGAGTAGGATCCGTGAAGATGGTTGGACGAGGTGGGATCATACAAGAAGGACGTGGATCCAACAGATTTTCAATCAGGAAGGATGATGGACGGTTGGGCTGGTATGGCGTTCGTGGGATCATCGCGTTATGCGGCGCGAAGAACCTCGGCTGTTGTGGATGATAGTACAAGAGAGAGTCTTGGTAAAACATGTTGAATCACCGAATCTCCTGTGTCCGATACTGTATTGGTATATTCTATATGTTCGCGCTCTTCCAGATGTGTTGGGTCAGTGTCTATAGTCAGATGAGTAATGCCAGTGAGGCAGATGGCGTTGCTTATTTGTACGTATTGTTCAAGGCGAAACCACTCACTGGACGGCGACCGCGTGATCGACAAGTAAAGTGACATTTGAAGGGCTTCTCTTGTTTGGAATACATATACAAGGCTTATTAGCCTAATTCCTAAAGCCCAAAAATACCTTGTAAAAGGAAACACATCCACAAAGCTGTCTGAAAAATGATTGTTTTCGAATCAGTGCTGGATTTTTGGATTTCTTTGCCTAATCCTGGTGGATATTTTTCATCCCAACCAAAAGTTGCTCCCAAATGAACTGTGTTCATTATTCAATTAGTAGATATTATTACTCGAATAGGTGTCAATTATCGTCATTATCGTCAGATAATCGAAATAGGAATTCAATTAACTATTAAAACACAAAATAGAGCAAGTCAGAGATAAGCATTAGCCTTTGTCGGTAGTGTTGTTGCCAGACTTAGGTAGATAATAGTAACATTGACAATCGCTATCCCAAAGGGAACAAACAACACTTCCCATTAAATGTTTCCATGGACATTAAATAGCTTTGTTGTTCTCACCGATTGAACTAGTCTACCTATCCAAGCGGGTTTCCTTCAAACCTTTCCTTGAACACACGGCAATTATTGATCTCAAATGTAAGTATACTTTCAAGGAGCAAAATTTACTTGTCTTAAGTAAATAGATCTAGTCTCGTTACCCAAGACAAAGGCATTCCATTTTGACTGCCAACGAGTTGAGTTGTGCGCGCTTTTATTTATTTTACAAAGAAAAGGTTTAGTACCCAATCAAATATACCGCCGAGGTAAAGCGCAACCCCATCCATTACCATTTTGTCAGTCAATTACTCGAATGACAAAAAAATCACTCACTCTTATTCTGCTAATGAATAACTTAAATCCGAGATCCACGTTGTGATGGATTTTTGACGGTTTCTCGTAACACAATAATTTGTATCAAACACAAGACGGATAATAAAGATTTCTCACAAGATATTAAATCAGAGTGCATGGTTCTCAAATAATTGTTGATTATTTTGAGTTTTTTTGTTGGCTTGGGATACGCGTGATAAGGGCTGTTGATAGTCGTGAGGGCGCCATCCAAGAACACCGAGATTTCCATTGAAGACGTACTRGAACCTCGATAGCAAAATAAAGTCTCAACTCAGGGGCCTTCAACAAGGGCTCCTAGGTGTCTCGCATCGCATACAAAATAATGGTTAAGTAAAGCACACGGTATAATACACAATTAGGAATCTTTGTTCGATGTTTTTCCTGCCGAAAACGCCCCAAATCAGCCCAAACATCTTCTTTATCGTCCATTAAAGACACGAGCTGATTGGTATTATTGATAGGTTTTGCTGAGGTACTCACCAATTAGTTTTGCGTATCATCACAGTTTATTTTGTAATTATAGTATTTTTGTGTACGTGGGCCGGCTAGATTGCTTTAGCATCGGGTTCGTCTCAAACCAGAACGGCTATCTTTAAGATATGTAGCTTACAAAGCATTTTTATTAGGATATGATCATCGGTAATAGATTGACAAATTACTTAGCGATAGTAAAGTGAGTGATCATGGATCACTAAGGGTCGAGTTTCTCAGCCATAAAACCTAAGTATCGATCGTAGAACTGAAGGGCCTCAAAGCATGTAACGGCCAATATATTGGACTGCTTCGAGTGGATACCCTCAAAGCTGTTTAGCTAGTCGATGACAAGGTCTGCAATACGCGCTGCGCGCAATAGACGCAGAGAAAACAGTAAACGGAAGTTGGGAGTCTTGCGTTGACGTATTCAAATGTCAATCACAAATAAACTAAGAGACCACCAGAGGGCAGATTTTAGCATCAGAGAGATAATAAGCCAAAATATGAAATCTAACCCAAAATAAATCTGCCTGGATCTTCTAACAAAATTGTTGAATATCCAAATGGAAATTTCTTAAGTAAAAACAACAGGTCTGTCAGCCTTGAAACTCTATACGTCTCTATTGTCATGGCTGGTGGCAGAGGAGGTTGATTCAGCTTTACTCAAGACAGAGTGAAAATACAATTCAATGTTAGTAGAACTAATCCTAGAGATTAATATTACAAATTAGTTAATCTGTGTTTGCTCTCCGGGGTAGCCCTGCCATCTCAGTCCTTATGTTGTTCTGATGTTTAGCTCTAAATTCCAGCCGTTGCTGACGGACCAACGTTGCGTTTGAAGTTTACACTCTCTATTGCAGAGATTTAAGGACTTAATTAGGCTTACATGTACGCTTAAAAACCTACAAAAAAGAAATAAAAGGATGCGTAAAAAATCTTTAGACTTTATGAAGTTGTGTTCGTAACCAAACTTGTCATTTGAGGAAATGATGCCTCAAAAAGAAACTCAAATATAAGTAGAAAGTGTACCAAATGTATTGCTTGACATCTGGATTTGCAATTTCGTAGCCACGCCATTAAAAAAGCAAGCTAACTCCGAAAATATTTAGTTTGTAGGAAGAACAAGCGACAGGCTGAGTAGAGTTGTACAAGGTGTTGAAGTCTTTTCCGGGTCACGGCAACCAAACACGCTGCAGGACAGAAAAATATAAATATGTGTATTCATTAGTTTTTCACGTCTGTGGCTGCTAAAACCGCGACAATGCGATAATAGAGTTATGAATAAGTCTACCAGATATGTTACTGGGTCAGTCTAGATGTCATCAAACAAAAACCAATCTTATCAACACTACTAATGTGACTTAAATTTGCCGATCGTTTTCGATTCTTTTAGATGGAATTATCGTAACAGGAACTAGAGTAGTGCATGTACTGTTTGCGGATAACGTTCATTAAAATGTTGCCCGTTCAAATTTTTTTATGACAATCGAGAATTCGTTTTATGTTGCGTTGGTCGTAGACTGAATCATGATACTTGAAGCATTGTTCTATGGCGGTGAGATGAGTATTATTTTTAAAGATGACAACAATCATATGCTGATGTAACTTGGAATGTTCTTGTCAAACGATTGACCTTCCATTAACCCACATCCATTGGAACACGTGTAGGCACACGGTCCTGCCATACCCAAGCAAAGACTCTGACCAGTCACTCCACAGCATTTTAAACTTCTCACAGACAAACATTTTAGTTTGCATAGAAAAGATAATCAAAAGATTATTAGTTATAGCTAAGCATTTATCCAGTTCGGTAATCATGTTGTCTTTTGTGATGGTGTGAGGCGTACATACCCCCCAGGAAGGGGAAATAACAATGTACAAAAGTAATAATGATCGGATCTCGTAACTATTAGTTGCCAGTTGATTTTCAAGTGGTTATTATCGTGGCGTCTAGGAGGGATGATACGGTTAGGATGTTTCAAGGCCGATCAAGGAAGTCCCAACGACATCAGCGCCTGCAGGAATGGAAAGTGACGCGCGAGTGCGGTGTGCGTCGCTGATTCTCACCAATGCGAGCCGCGGGTTCGACACCCCGGCTCCGGTTTAGTGAGTTGAGTAGTTGCTTGCTGGTTCTTTCCTGTGCTTCGAGGGTTTTCCGGGTTCTCCGATTTTCTTTCCTCCGGAAAAATCAACTTCTAACTCCCAATTCAATCTGGTGCCGAGTGCTTTATTCAAGAGCCCTTGCATCAATCCCTGCATGATCGACGTAAAATAAAATTGCATTTTACTTGTGATATGAGAATGCGTCAGGTAGTATTAACGGTGATAGGACGTTAATAAGATGGTGATGATGGTGTTATTGACTGTACAACGATAGTTGTAACGTAACGTATGATGATGATGATGGCGATGTTGGTGACGACGACGACGACGATGATGATAGTGAGTGATGGTATTAAATAATGCTGATGATAGAAAATGGTGATGATGATGATGATGACGTTAGTGATGATCATGATCATGAAGGTGAATAAGAACTAGACACGACATCTGAAAACCTAAACGACAGGCAATTTTCAATTGTCGACGAATTCTTATATCAAAGTGATGTTTCTTCGTGGAGAAACTTCAAGCGATTCCCCTCAACTTGATAGATTTGTCTTTTCTCGGCACGTAATGCGAACGACTCATTCTTTGGCATTCAGCCGCACAGCTCTACGGAGGGGGAAAAACCTCTGCTTACAGGGTAATAAAACTCGTTCGCTCGAATTCTGAACCTTTGCTCTACTCAGCGGCAATGAGCGCATGCGCTTTATAGCTATATATTTGTTATCTGAAAGATAAAGGCGCAATTACACGGAGCAATTTTTTCTACAACTTGTCTCGCAATAGCGTTGCGACACGAGCTGCAAGAGCGTTTACACGGTGCAACGGACATGACGGAAACGAGGCGTTGCCTAAAGTAGAAACGAATTCTATTCTAATTTTCGCCTAGTCTCCCCTACAGCCGCTTTCAGTGTCGTCACGACTGCTGCAAATTGTCTCACAGCATTTTTACAAATTGGGCTGCAGGTTACACGCTGCGATGCTCCCTGCAACTTGTCTTGCAACGCCGTTGCCAGATAAGTTGCAGAGAAAATAGCTCCGCGTAATCGCGTCTTAAACGGCAAAATGACACCTCGGGCATTCCACAGGAAGCCCAAGTATTAAGAAGATGGCGCTGATCATGATGGTCAGATGATCAGTGGAAAATAAACGGGACTTGCCAACAGGTAGATACCGTGTTAATTATGATATTACAGACATAAACAACAATAATAATCAGTTTAAAAGGATAATGAAACCACCAAAGATAAAAGTAATGTTGATAACCTCAGTACTAGACTAGATAACCTATGTTGATCGCTCTATTATAGGATTCGTTCCATGCTATATAGCACGATACAGCTCAATATAGAACCCCTTGAGGTCAAATGGTTCTTCAAAAAACCTTAAAGCTTCATTATATTAGTAATAACATCTTCAGAACAAACACAATCCCATTGGTCCGTTATACAGAAGTATCTATTATAGGATTCGTTCCATACTACGGATTTAGTGCAGGGGGTGTAAGACAGAATTGTTCTTGACAGAACGGAATGGAAAACAGGCAGGGTAAAAATCCGCTGCTCAGAGACTCAGCAAAGTGTGGTACTGGGTCTACTGTCTACTCAAAGGGGCGTTA